GCTCTCCGCTGCTTGGTACCTGCATATAGATCCAGTTATAATCTTGTTGTTGCCCTCTTATAACATCCCTACCCGACCTCAGCTCTCCCTCTTGCCTCTCCTCCCTTCCACTCCCTTATGCCTACCTCTGCATATCGCCCACCCACATACATACAACTTTGGAATCGTCTACTGCTGGTGATCGCATATCGTCCTTGACACCAATAATACTCTTTACCTCTCCCCCCCTTTTTTTTCCTTGCGGCGCAATTTACATCGTCCACCAACCTGCCTTCGTTTTTCTCGTTTATTTCCTGCCTGGAATCCCGATTCACCTAAACCTAATTGCGGCTTACCCCTTAGCCCACCTCTTACATCAAACTTAGGAAGTACCTCTGCTTTCACCCTGGGTTCTGCCATAGTATAGAGAGGGCTCCCCGTCTCCTCTCGAACAATTACCAAGACGGGACTATCCTACTGCATATCTTACACGGCCTTTATCTAAACGGTTTATTTCCCCCTCTTCCGCAAAACAGACAATAAACGCACTGGCGTTTTGACCGAATTGCCCGCTCCATCGTCCAGCCACATTGTTGAACGATATTTAAAAAGCTCTGCACTCCCTGTCCACTACCACCATTCCCCCATCCCCTCGCCGCAACAAAGGAAAATCTCTACTGCCAACCTACTGTTTTCCTTCATTTCATCAGCAGGTGCATTTTGCGACCGCTCTTGATATACTTCCCTTGAAAATATGCCTGTAATGGACATCTTGGGTTTCAACCTTGCCAACCCAAGCCTTCCAAAGAGTGTCCTGCAACCTCTCCCACACCCGTGCACTTCGTCAATCGCCTCGTCTGCGTCGTCTTCCTCGTCCTCAGTCTTCTCCCTCGACTCCTCTTCCCAATATTCACTGTCGTCGTCAGCTAGTTCTGTCGACGTGATCTGGGAAAATGAGGTCTTAGGAACTGGTGACTCATCATCACAGCAACCGGCTGGAGGAGCTAGAACGTTGAGCTCGTCAAGTGAATCGAACTTCCACTGCTTCCGTTCTGGAAGAGGTTGTGGCCCTAAAGTCGCTGACGCTGCGGTTGCTCCTGAATTGCGGCAGAATCCCCGACGTACCAATAGTAACACCTCATTGTCATCTGCCTGTTCGCGGGCCCCACCTTCGTTGGTCCGCCAGTGTGATCGGAAGGTCAATTTCGTCGACAATCTTGTCGGTAAGTTAAGATGCCGAAATCCCCGTCGTCCATTCTATTCTGCCGTGTTTATTTGTTTTCCGTTTCTGATCTTGCTTTTCTGTTCCCACTTGTTTTCGTGCTCTGGAAGACTCTGCGTCTCAGATCGTCGAAACTATCTGGCCGTTATCAGTGGTAGCGCTCCGCAATGATTCTCCCTTGGGTTCAAGGGGGGTTTTGCCACTGCGCACTTTCATCCAGGAAACCCTTCGACGGTCAAGAACCAGCTATTCGACTCTCCAAGTTGCCCTGTACTATCTTATCATGATTAAGCCTCATGTACCTAAACAAGATTTCACCATGGAGCAACCCAGGAACCACCCGTGCTCTCGTGCTATGCAATGTGGCAGGCGAATGTTCCTTTCTGCACTTATTTTAGCCTCTAAGTATCTCCAGGATCGAAATTACTCCGCCAGAGCGTGGAGCAAAATTTCGGGATTGAATACACTTGAGATCAATCAAAATGAGCTGGCGTTCCTCGAGGCTGTGGGCTGGAAACTTCACATTTCGGAAGCCATCTTCCAGCGTTGGACGGACATTGTTCTCAAGTACACGCCCAGCGCGGGTGGTTCTCCAAACGGAGAAGGTCTCACCTGGCGGAACATTATCCCTGTGCTCACTGCAGAACTTGACACCGTCGATCTGGAATCCGACCGGTATCGTGGTGTCACTGATCATGTCATGTCTGGCATCAGCGTCTCACCGTCACAAATATAACACGTACGCCGATCCCGGACGGATTGTCCAATGT